ACATCCGCAATGATCCATCTTTTTTTTTTACAAATAAAATTGGAGCTCATGCTGGAGATTTGGAATAGCGTATGAAGTTCTTAACCAAATTTTCTTCAATATACTCCTTGAGTTTAGCTAACTCATTTTGAGATAAATTATAGATTGGTCCAAATTGTGTTTTTTCTTAAAGGTCAATTGAGTAGTCATAGGAATGATGTTCTGGAAGAGTATCCGCATTCTTTTTCTCAAATACATCTTGAAAATCTTGATATTAACTTGGAATGCTACTTGAAGTCTTTCCACTAATAGAAACAGGTGTGGCATATATGACACAAGGTGATCCTTCTTTTGCAGTATACAAGAAAGCACTTATACCTATAAATATAGGTTTAATTATACTAGACTTATGTCTTTCTACTTGATTAACTACACTCTTAATTATACTTTCAGAAAAGTCAAGACTATGAGAAGTCCAATCTATTTTAGGGTTATATTTTCTAGCCATGATAAATCTAAAATGATTGGATTAGAAGGAGATCTAATGATATTAAATATTATAAAGCTATTATGATCATTAGTTACTATTTATATAGGAAGGATTTCATGAGTAACATCTCCTGAAGATAATGGACGACTATCTATGACTTCTACATAAACAGGTTTAATTTCTTTACTAAAAATATACTATGTCTTTTAGCAAATTTTTCATCTAAGAAACATGTTGAGGCTCCTGAATCTAGCAAGGCAGAGGCTTTGAGATGTTTAGGTCTTAGAATAACATTTATCGTAAAACATGGAGAGGGTTCTGAGGAGAGGATAGGACCTTCACTTGGCATTGTACAAGGTTCCAGCTGCACAGTATCTATTGTAATTGTATAAATTCGTTTTTCGACATGTTATCTTTTTTGATCGTCGTACTCCTCATTTTATGGTTGGGTCGCTTCTTTGGACAATATTGAGCATTAAGCTTAGGTTCTCCACAATATAAGCACAATCTTTCTTGACGACGATGTGTCTTTTCTTGCTCAGTAAGAGGTTTGAAACGTATTGCATCAATTTACATATCTTCTACTTCCAAATGTATGTATTGAAGAGATGTTGGTGTTGCTATTGAATTGTAGTTACGTTGAGGTCCACTTGTATGGTTCTCAGATCGAAATTCAAAAAGGCAATTGTCGCACTTCACAGCAAAGTCAATTAATTGACTCAATGTTTGAGGATCACGTAAGTTGAGTATTAATTTTTTTTACCTCATATTATAATCCATAGAAAAATTGACTAATAAGTGCAGCATCATCTCACTTGATATCAGTTACAAGTTGTCAAAATTGTGAAGTATATAACGTTACTTATCGATTGTCTTGTCGTAAAATATGGATCTTATTGGTTGCAACACAAATCGCATCATGTTCTCCATACATGGATTGAAACTTTACTAAAAAAAGCCTCTAGATTATCCAATATTAGATCTCATCGTTCAAGAAAAGATGAAAACCATGATAACCTGAAACTTAAACTTGAAAGAAGTGTACCAATGAATCTAACTTGCTATCTTAGAGTTGAATAGATTTGGGTTGAAGTTCAATCATATGTTATACTTGATTGATAAATCCTCGAAACTTGGATCTAGTGCCATCAAACTTCTCCGATATGGCAATTCTTGGTTCTTTAACATTGGAAGGGCATTCCACCATAAGAGAAGGGATATAATTTGGTACAGATGTTGAAGCAACTCCAATCATTTCTATATCTTCACTTCCTACTAATCTTGTTGTTCCTTGTGGTAGTAAATTGAGTTGATGCATTACAAGCATTAACTCCCTCAATTTCTCTTGCATTTGTGCCATTGCACTCTTCATTTCAGCAAGTTCTGCCATGATAACACTTAGAAAAGAGAAGATGTCTAATATCGCTCAAGATAAATAGAAGAGAGGACTTGAGAACAAAGAAAATATTAAGAAAAATATTAGTTTAGAAGAGGGTAATCCGTAACTTCTAATATGCTTGTATCTTATTAAGAAAAAGGGGTAATCCACTCTTAATCAAGATTAGACAAAGCTCTGATATTGTAGGTGTACTCTTGTAAATCTGTCAACGACAAGAACATGATAAAGACAAATAAATAAGTCAGACTTCTGTCATAGAAAGATGACAATATAGAAATAACTTGATATATATGTTAAGAAAGAAATTGGAATGGCTATTGCCAAAAGCCAAGAAAACTAGAGACCCTTGAAACTAGACTGGAAGTAAGAAAGAAGTTGACAAGAGTGAAGAAGGCTTCACTCTTGTCTCTATATATACTATCTAACTAGGGGCTACGTGGCAATGTTCTATAGGACCTCCAATATGTGTTGACTTTGTAGGACACATGCCTTGACTTAGAAGGCAAGTTTTTCTACGTATGGGCCACATAGTTAGCTTGGTCTTCAAGTTAACAACATGTGTGGCACATGGCAAACTTGTTGACTACGTTTCTAATTCCAAAAAGTCAATTAAAGACACCTATAAAGTCAAAGTAGCATCTATAAAGCTTTTAAGAAGCTTCCATACTAAATACTATAGAATTAATTCATTTTTACCTACTTTTACTTACTTCTATCTATTTATACATGTAATTATTGGCTTACATGCATATGTCCATGACAAGTAGTTTGGATTTTTTACATTACTTTGAGATTGTTGAGAAAATATAAGAGTATGCTTTTTATTTAAAAAAGATCAAGTTTTGATATTTTATTCATTAATTGTATAAAAAAATTAAGAACATAAATCTATATTGATTTGATAAAAGATAATATATTTGTCTACAGCTAAAAAATAAAGTAAAATCAAAAAACAATTAAGTTTAAAAGATAGAATTGTAAGATGGCTGTATTCTAGTATAAACATACCAAAAACTCTTAAACTAAGTTTGAGGTATAAAATAAACATTAAGAAGACTAAAAATATTTTTTAATCTTGCATTAATATATATAAGTTAATAATCAAACATAAAAAAATCTTTCTAAGTACTATAAGACTTATAAGTTATTTATTCAAATTGTTAGATCTTTCTATTATAGATTTCAAGAAATAAGACTTATAAATAAAATATTGCAACCACATAGTGTCACGGACATACATATAATTACCTATATGAATAGATAAAAGTATGTAAAAGTAGGTTAATTGTGTAATATCTTCTAGAGAAGCTTCTTAGAAGCTTCATAGACGCTGCTTTGACTTTATAGGAGTCTATAGTTGACTTTTAGGTTAGAAACTTGGTCAACAAGTTAGCCATGTGCCACGCATGTTGGAAGCTTAAAGAACAAGCTAACTACGTGGTCCATCCATAGAAAACTTGCCTTGCAAGCAAAGACATGTGGCCTAGAAAGTCAACATATATTGGAGGTCTTATAGAACATCGCCACGTGGCTTCTAGTTAGATAGTATATATAGAGGCAAGAGTGAAGCCCTCTTCACTCTTGTCAACTCCTTTCTTGCTTCTAAGTCTAGTTTCAAGGGTCTCTAGTTTTCTTGTATTTTGACAATAGTCATTCCAGTTTCTTTCTTAATATACATATTTCTATTTTGTCCTATTTCTTTTTTTGAGAAAAGTCTCACTTACTCTTTAGCTTTCATCGAGTTCTTGTCCTTGACAGATTGACAAGAGTACACTTACAATATCAGAGCTTTGTCTTTTCTTGATTAAGAGTGGATTACCCCTTTTTCTTGATAAGACATAAGCGCATTAGAAGTTGCGGATTACCCTCTTTTAAACTGATATTGTTCTTAGTATTTTCTTTGTTATCAATTCCTCTCTTCTATTTGTTTTGAGCGTTGTTAGACATCTTCTCTTTTCTAAGTGCTACTATGGCAGAGCTTGTTGAAATGAAGAATGCAATGGCACAGATGCAAGAACAATTGAGGGAGTTAATGCTTGCGATGCATCATACTTTGACATCTTTGAATTAAGGAGCAACAAGAATGGTAGGAAGTGAAGATATAGACTTAATTTTAATCCAAAAACTTATACAGGTGGTTGTATGCTACAAAAAATGTATGGCTGATTATATGGTAAAATATTGTGAAGGAAGTTATATACTATATACTTTTTACATTTTTTTTAATTTACCATATAAATCACTTTAAATGCCAAAATTTTATATGATAAAAGTTTAAAACTTTGGTGTTAATAATTACAAGATTGGTATTTATTGCTAATGTAATAACTACCATTAGCAAGAATTATATGATAGTTTTTTAATCTTATAATTTCGAAATTAAATTAATTTTTAATATCAATTTAAAAGATAGAATGATAATATTAATGTTTAAATCATAATTCCAATTGGCATACCATCTATTTTCGAAATATGAATAAAAAATAAGAAATAAGTGTGTTTAAGTGTGACTATTGGTGATAGATAAATATATAAAAGAAGAAAATTTATGTAATAAGATTAATAACTCTAACTCTATTTTAAGTTATTAGAGGATGATTACTTCTATAGAAATGATGTAATATAAATTTTTTTTTATTTTTTTATATTAGAGATTAGATGAATAATGTATCATATAATTTTTTGGCGTAAATATTATTAGTTATGTATAAAACTAAAAGTGCTTAAGAAAACATCACACTAGACAACACAATAGACAGAGAAATAAAAAAATATATATAAAAACATATATAATGGCAAACACATAGCAATACATTTAATAAGACATACATAACACATTTCCAACACTTCTTTAAGATATATAAAACATCCAAATACATCCCTTTTTTATTATTATTCTCTATAAAAGCAATAAATAAAAAAGATAAAGTAATGAGTATAAACGAAAAAATCTCAAGCTGCTAAGAGTGGCATGTGGAATCGAATGAAAGTCCAGGTTATCTTAGATGAAGATGGCGTAAACGACATTCATCACTCATCTACAGTCGAATGGATTTTATCAGATGATTCCCCATATTCATTCATCCAAAAATGGCCAGGGGCGTATTGTCAGAGGGCTGCTTCACGAGGGAGGCTGATTGCTGGCGATAGTTTTTTTTTTCACCCCTGGTTTAGGGTTTAGGGTTTTAGAGCTTCAGAAAACCGAAGCGGCAGAGCAGTGCAGCGATTGATGCTGTTGGTTGGAGAATTGGACCTGTCGGGGCACATCAAACGGGACAGGAGCATTCGTAGACCAGCATGAAGCTGGTGGCGGGATCCTACGAGCGGTTTCTATGGGGCTATGACGTGAAGCTGAAGAAACAGGAGCTGCAATGGAAGTTTGCTTATCCGGCGCACATCGGCGCCATCAAGTGTATCGCCAGCAGTGGTGCTGTTGTGGCCACCGGCGGAGCCGACGACACCATTCGCATCTTCGACCTCAATGCGCAGAAGGACATGGGGTCGCTGTACAAGCATGAGGGCGCGGTCACGTGCTTGGACTTCCACAATTCGCACCCCTCGATCAATCATCCCACGCACTTGTTAAGCGGCTCGGAGGATGGCTCTATCTGCATTTGGGACACGGACGCCTGGGTTCATTTGCTTACCATGAAGGCGAAGAAAGGCCCCAAGTCGGCAGTGCAAGACTTGTCCATTCATGTTTCAGGTGATTGCTGCTTCGTGTTTTAGTACTGTGCTGCTCTTAGTGGAATTTCTTTTAGGGTTCTGGGTTTGTGTTGTTGTTGTTTTTTCTTTCTTCCTTTTTTCTTTTGGTAAGAGCCTTGCAACGCTGTTTTCAGGACTCCTTGCGCTGTCAATTGAGCGGAATCACAACATGAAAATGTGGAATTTAACGAAAGGGAGGTGCAGTTTTACCACCAAGCTGCCTAGTGAAGCTGAGATAGTGAAGTTCTTCCCCCAGAGTGGCGAGTCGTATGCTTTGGTCTTAGGAACTGCCCTGGAGATTCGCAATGCAGAGACAGGGAGCACAATTCATCGTCTTCAGCATGACAAGAAGGTTTTCTGCATAGCCCAACGCGAGGTGATTCTGCATTTTCTTAACCCATTTCTTTCATGTAGTTTTATTTTATTTTATTTTAGGGTAATTATAAATTGAATGCAGTCACTAATTATCCACGCTACAAAACCACAATTCGCAGATTAATATTTAGAAGGCATACATGTGAGTTCAGGGTTTTCTGCCATGGTCCGTGCATGTCATTTGCTGCAGACAGGGATTGTTTTGCTTCCTCGCTTCTACTAGTAGTGACTAAGTATTATATTCAAATTTAATCTCTCACAGGACAATCTGCTGGTCACCGGGGGTGAGGATTGCATAGTGAGGGGTTGGGATACGAGATCAGGGAAGCAGGCCTGGTCGATTGCCAATGCACACTCCAATCGGATCAAGGGAGTTGCAATTTTGAGATCCAAGTCTGCCACAGATGAAAACACAGGGGAGCCACCAGTTATCGTTGCTTCCGCGTCTTCAGATGGACTGCTGAAGGTTTGGGATACTCGAATGGTGAGATCTAATAGTGGGGCTGCTCCGGCACCTCTTCTGCAGGCTGAGACTAAAGCTCGACTGACTTGCCTCGTTTCTAGTTCTGGTGTCAAGAGTGAGTTGTCTACCTTACCTCGACTAAATTCGTGACATTTTATCTTGAAAACATAATTCTGGTGGCAAAGTCCTTGTGATTTCTACAGAATGGACAACCGTGACGCATCCCCAACCCCTCAAAAAATTCAAAAATCCAAATAAAGTATAATTAATGACCTTAGTAGTTTTTTACGTAGATGTTTCTTGTGCAAATAAGCCTTGGAATAAGGTATTGTATTCAGTTACTAACAGCTTTTTATTCTATCCATCTAGGTCTTGTTCTGAAAGAAGGATTGTTTATACGTTTGTCGTTTCTTTACAGAACCTAAAGCATCTGACAGCATTCCCGAGGGAGATTTGTCCAGTAAACAGCGTTTATCAGCCGGATCTTATGCAGATCAACAAGGAAGCGAACAAGTGCACAAGAAAAAGAAAAGAAAGTCGAGCTTAGGTGGCAGTGAGCCTGGTGAAGGAAACAAGTATTTGCCCGAAAGTAAGCGACAGAAGAAACAAAGAGTGAAGAGTAAAGGGAAAAAGCAGGGCAAGAGTCTGCCAGGAACGCCACTTCCAAGCAATCCTGCTCCAGTTGCAAAAACCCCAAAGTCAAAGTCTTCGTTTCGCAAGCGATCCAGCCGATCAAAGCCTTAAATTCTCTTTGCTAATCGTATACAAGGTCCAAATTAAACTTGGAAAGGCTTCCCACCCGGCAAGTCTCCCAATTATACTTTTTTTACCAAAAATTGGAAAGATGGCAAAAATTTTCAACTCGAACATAATTTTTTTGATAGTTGACTCTGGTTTTCATATCTCTAGTAATTCATTATGTTTTTGAAAAAGTGAAATTTTAGTTGTATTCTACCTTAGTTCCAGACCTCCCGATTCTTAGGTTGATATGGTTGTGAGAGTAGTGCAGGTGCAACAGCTGTACAGATTCAACATGTACATGGCTAACTAGTATGAAATTGAGAGCTAGACCCTGAGATTTTCATTTGAGATTTGTTTGTTTGAAAATTGTGAAACCTGTCCATGAAATAGGCTAGCAGTTGCAAACGGAAATCCGAATAGTGCGTTGCTCCACAAAATCATACGTTCAGTTTTGATGCACTGAGTTCATATGATAAATGTTATCCCTTAAATTATTATCAATCAAGAAGTACTAGTATCTTGCTATGGTACATGGGAGAGTATGTGGGAGAACTGTTAATCTGAAAAATGAAACAACCAAATATGCCAGTTCAGAGCAGTACTGAGGATATTGATTGGAGAGGTGTTAAATAACAAGTTGAGACCCCAGATTATTCACCGTGTTCAAAACTTTAATTTAAAGCTTTCTGAAGCACGTGCAACAAGCTATTGGAATTGTAGATGGAAACTTCCCAATGACTCAAACTAAAGTAGGGTTTTGTCAGTTTTTTTCTTGTAATTTGTTGTCATGTAGTCTGTAACTATTTTTACTATTATGAAACTTTTTGAATGTATTAACAATTTTCAATGTCGTAGTTACTTGGTTTTTTCACTTCATTATTTACTTCCAATTGTATGAGGTAAAATTAATAAAACCAAATCATGTTTCTCACAGCTTGAATTGGACTTAAAAGAATAAAAGAAATAAAAAATTATAAAAAATTGCAAGTTGTGGTGAGAGTAGCAAAAATTGTGGTGGTATTAACCATACCCTAACTTATAAAATGTATTTCGAGAGATAAATTTCAAATAACAATATTAAAGAATTAACAAGTTTATTAGATGATTTATTTCTAAGTTATAATTTATTTTCCAAATCTCTACTGTAACAACTTTGTAACAATGTTTTAATATATATTTGAAATATATTATAATAAAAATATAAAATAAAACAATACAGTTGTGTAGATGCAAGAGCAAATGACAAATTTGGTTGGCACAACACAAGTGATGTTTATACTAACATTAACAACTTAGTTTATTTTCTTAAAAACACATAAAGTAATAGTTCTCTTAATATGTACAATAAATTATAATATACTTTTTGCAAGCTACACATGTAAATATTAATATCTATTTGCTTAAAAATAATATATATATGTGTTTAGTTTTATAAAAAATACTTTAATCAACTATAAATAATTTATTATCCAAGAAAATATAATTATCTTAGTAAAAATTGTTTTACTAATTTTTTACAGCTTAAATACAATGGTGATAATATAGCAATTGTCCAAAATACAAATCTCAAAAGTAAGAAGATATTAATACAATATAAATTTTAAAATAAAATATATAATTATATAATATATAATATTAAATATTGGTTGAAAACAGCAATAAAATCCACATCAAATAATCACAAATATTTTTTGCAACTATTTTAAAATAAATTGAAAATATTAAAAAAAATAGAATATTTTAAAGAAAATGTTAATAAACCCAAGTTTTTACTAAATCGACCTACCCATCCTAATCATTAGTAGAAGAAGAAAAAGAAAAAGAAAAATCTTTTAAATTCATTTCTCCACTATTGGATCTACAACAAATAAAAATCAACTATATTTATCATGATTACCATATTCTTCATCAAGAATGGGTCTATTTCCTAAATACATCGGTCTATATATTTATTATTCTAGAAATGAAGTTTTTTACAAAATTCTAGAACAGTTTTTGTTTTATAAATGAAGAATTCCGTCCGCGTCCTTCGTCGTCCTTGTCACTCTCGTCCTTCATTGTCGTCGTTATCGTCGTCATTTCGTCCTTCACTCTCGTCATCGTTGTCGTTGGAGGGAGCCCTCCCCCCGTTCCCCTTTCCCTCGATGCCTTGCCTTGCTTGGAGCATTGGCGTTAAGGCGGGGATGCATGTCAAGCGGTTTTGTTGTGCATTGACAAGTTGAAGCGCAGCAGCACAACGCAACCCTAAGAAGGCGCGTCTGGAAGGTTGCATTTGCACTACGAGTGACGCAAGCCCAAGCAATTCAGGCGCGGTCTTGGGTCGGATTGATTGCGGAGAGCTTGCGAGGTGTATGTGAGTTGGAGGGGGGGTCAGAATCATGGCGGCGTTGCAATATTTGGAGAAGCAGAGAGCAGCCCAGCCGGAGCTCGCCGAGTGGTACACCAGCATGGCGGATCTGTACCAGCGCAAGCTCTGGCACCAGCTCACGCAGAAGCTCGACCAGTTTGTGGCGCTCACCGTGTTCCAGGTTTGGCATGCTCTCACTTTTTTGACGCAATCGGCAGTGTTTTTGGTACATGGGTGGGGTTGATTGCGAGCGCATGGTGGTTCGATGTGGAGGTGATGTGTTTTAGGGGTAGGGTTTCGTGTAGAGGAGATTCATTTTTTTTGTGTTTCAGGGTATGAGATAATGCTTTCATGTGTGTAATGTTGGTTATTTGATGATCAGAGATGGATTTTATTCTTTGGTGGCTCTTATTAGGGTTGGTATGTGCAATTTGTCACAAGAACTGATGTTGAGGGTATGGTTTGGTGCGATTGCAGGCGGGGGATACCCTTGTACAGCTATATCATAACTTTATTCGGGACTTTGAGACCAAGATCAATTTGCTGAAGCTCGCCCACTTTGCTGTCATCGTATCGAAGCAGTATCCGGAAAAGGATGCTGCAATTGCGTATCTCGAGGAGGTTATTGAGAAGCTTAGGACGTCCGGAGAGAGGCGGGTGGAAGAGCCTATTCTGTATGTGAAGATGCAGGTTGCGGCAATGAAGTTGCAGCGTGGGGAGATACAAGTGTGTAAGAAGCTTCTGGAAGAAGGAAAAACTACTCTGGATAGCATGACGGATGTTGATCCCTCGGTTCATGCGAGTGTGCACTGGGTCTCTTCGCAGTATTACAAGTCCCGGCAAGAATTTGCCGAATTTTACAAGAGTGCTCTCCTGTACTTGGCTTACACCTCTGTGGAAACATTGTCGGAAGACTTCAAGCTGGTTTGTACCTTCATCATCCTTTGCAAAATTCATGTTCATATCTTCTCTTCTCTTTTCATTCGCGCATACTGCGTCACTGGTCATCAATTGGCATATTCATTATTTCTGGCTCAGCATGTGAATTGGGACTTTGTTGGTAATTATTCGTGTTATATATGTATCATGTTCTGAACGGTTTGTTTGAACTTACAATGATATTCTGGGTGCGCCTTGTTTTATGACCTGAGTGGGTAATTATATCATTTTAAGGTGTTATGCATCATCTAAATAATTGTAAAATTTGAGATGTTAAGTGAACATCACATTGGACCTCCTTTGCTACAAGAATAATCTTGGAAAGCATTTTTCAGTGTAGGCTTGACATAGCATTGGGGGCTGGCTGTGGTGATTTTAGAGTTTTGTGCAACGTTGATAGTAGTGATTAATGTTAAAATGTCTTGAGTGCAGGATCTAGCATTTGATCTATCACTGGCGGCCTTGTTGGGGAACAATATTTATAATTTCGGAGAGCTTCTTGCTCATCCCATTGTAAATTATTAACCCAATTTCTTCCTTTTTGCGCGGGTTCATATATCTGTGATATTTTCTCTAGCTTCTCTTCCATAATTGTTATGTAACATTCAGCCCTTTTTCCATACGCTTCCTGTTGTTGGAGTCGTCAGCTTTTACTGTGTTGTCTCTAAAGTGTTCGCTGGATGCTAGTGGATACGAAGATCAGGATTCAAATAGGTTCAGTAGTTTTTGGTTATTTGACTCCGGGGATAGTCTTGAAGGGAACTTGAATCTTATGAATCTCATTGTCTCATGAACTGTTCTGTGATTTGTAGGTCAATAGCTTGTTGGGGACTAGTGTGGAGTGGCTGTACTTTATCTTGCAAGCTTTCAATGCCGGAGATTTGACCAGATATCAGGAGCTGTGTGGTCAATATCAGTCTGCCCTAACAGCACAACCTGCACTTGTTGAGAATGAGAAGAAGCTCTGGGAAAAGATCAACATCCTGTGCCTCATGGAATTGATTTTCAGGTAATGATCTTTTGCAATATTGATATTTAATCTGGTGAGCAATTCAGTTTGCGACTTTATTGATAATTCTCGTACATTGAAGATTGTCGGTATAGAAATCAATAACGCAAAGAGCTAATTGGTTTCACTACTAGCAGGAGTTGCTCCTATTTTGCACCCTTTTTGCATGTACTGTCATCGTGCATATATATAATGTCATTTTGTTTGTTAAGTTATTTTTAATTCTCAGATTTCAAGATTTCCTTATGTACTAGTATGTTATAATTTGCAATTTGTCCATGCCGGAGACTAGCCATAGCTACCTTAATGTGTGGTAGAAACTGGCTGATCTTCATTTGTTGAAATGCTTGTGATATTTCGTATATTTTCATTATTGACCAACTTTGGGTGAAATATCTCTCCAGCCGCCCATCAGAAGAAAGGACGATTGAACTTAGTTTGATTGCTGAGAAGACCAAGCTGTCACTGGATGAAGTGGAGCATCTTTTGATCAAGAGCTTATCTGTATGTGCCCCACTTAAATGGAATGCCAATTTCCTTTCAATTCCTATGTTAAGATTCTCCAATTATTTTCATATTTTGTGCGTGTTGTATTTGTTCATTCGTAAATCTTATTTTTTTGCATGCCAGGCTTTCAAATAATGTTTAGTTTTGTTCATTGAGATAATTGACGTTATGACTTATTGCTATTTAGAAATGAGTCGAGGACATCGACTTTCTATATATATATATTTGTTGTCCATTCTTCGCTTTTTCATTTAGGTCCGGTTAGTAGTTTTCTTTTTCTTTGTTCTCGGGATATGATTTTTCAGTTAACCAGGCAGAAAAGGATCAGGATTAGGGTATCTTATTCAGTACATTTTGCAGGTACATTTGATCGAGGGTGTTATTGATCAGGTCGATGGAACAGTGCGAATATCATGGGTACAGCCACGAGTTTTGGGAGTTCCTCAGATAACTGCATTGAAAGACAGACTAGAAAATTGGTTACAGAAAGTGCATACAACGTTGTTAGCTGTTGAAGCAGAAACCCCGGACCTTATGACTGTTTAAATTTAGCTTAAAACAGGTGCCACCTTCTTTGGAGTTGCAATTCTCTTTTATAAATAGGATGCCAAACTAGAGGACTTCGGAATGTACTATTTTTGCCCTTTCTGAGGCAGTCTTGAAGCTGTTCGGGTACTAGTGGAGTTTTGTACTGCGTGCGACAAGATGCATTGTCATTTTTCCTTTCTGTGACAAGAGCAAACCAGTCATGTAAATCTGGCACGTTCATCCTCGCTAGAATCAACCAGTTTATGGGGAATGTCGTTTAGTGTGAAGGTGAGTACGTTCTTACAAAACTTCCACTATATTGCATATTTAAGGTGCTGATAGAATTGCTTCTCTGGGCTTTTTCTCTTGAGCCCCTAACCTGACGTCTGCATGCATACCATCCCACTTCTGACTCAATATTCTGACTCAACCCTCGCATATCAGTCTTTAATCACAGCATTCTTTTCCTCTTCTCTTCAATACATTTAGCTTTGCGTGTTCTTACGAGTACGCTAAGTCAATGGCATGTATGAATTCCGTAGTTCTGGTCGCATACTTCCACAGGTCCCCAAATGCATCTGTAGCGTTCCAGGCTGCCAAGCAGTTGTATATTTTTGAATACCTTGTTTCTGAGTATTTCTCTCATTGCGCTCTAAATTTTGTAGCCCTTGGTTCTCTGCTTATGTGTCTCGACAGTGTAGTTATTTTTATTAGATTTTTCTTTTAGATTTTATATACTATTGTCCATTTTGCCTTTATCTATTCTAATTAATTTGTTGGTTCATGTTCACAAAGGAGGTTGTCCCCTGCAAAGTTGTAATGTGTAGATTAAATTACTACAAATTTTCTTCTATTCCCATGAATCTACTTGTCTCCCCCTGTGTAATTGTGTTGTATAGATGTGTTGGGTAGGATTTTCCAGAAGGGTTTAATTTAGCTACTTGCTCCCACGTAGTCTACCACATGAACCCTAATGCAATAGGAAGTGCAACATTCCCTTCCTCATTGTGGCTCCATTAATAAGAAGATTATTGCAACTCTAGTTGGCATTGACAAAGAGGTAACAGGTACGACCATATTTTGTATACAATTATAGTGTAACTAATTTTATCCACCCAGATTCATTTTATAAAATCAAATGTATAATAAATATTGGTTTTTTATTGAATTGAATGATCAGATTATTGAACTTTATTGTCAAGAATGTCATTTGTTCTTTAATAATAGTACATACAGTTTTTTTGCTTGTTTTATGTATAATTTATTTCTTTTAGTAACTGACATTCATGCATGCTTAAATTAAAATTAATTTTTTATTTCTTGTAGATTGTTTCATTACAAAGATGTCAGATTCAAAATTTAAAAACTTTCATAAACCTATTTTCTAATTAGGACATTAAAATATATATATTTTTTTCTAATTATTTTTTGTAAAACCTACTTTTGTCTATTTATAGTATAGTCTTTTCAAAAAGATTTTTGCACTTTTTCAATATTCTATTTAAATTTTAATCTTGGGTTGTGGAATTAAATTATCAAATCATAAGAGAGATCTTTATGAGTTTTTTTTTTTTTTTTTTTTTTTTTTTTTTTTCCTTAACTTTTATTGGATATTAAAGAATTTTCAATATATAATTCTAAAAGGATTCAATCCATTTGCATATAAGTTCAATCGTTTCTAAAAAAAAACACATACTTATATTTCTTTTCCTTGTGAGTATTAAAATAAATACAGCATATCTTTTAATCTCTTTTTTCCTTTTAAGGTTAGTACGTTAATTTTTTTAAAACTTCTAGCATGTAATCTTCCAATTTAAAAACACTTCATTTATTTTGTTATTTAGCATTTGCACACCATGTTGTCTTCAAGTTTTATTCTTCATCCATTTGATAAATGAATAAGTGTAAGTATTAATGTTAGATCTATCTTTATTTGTATACTTTAAGTCTAATAAGTCTAAATTGGTTTTAATTTTATTCTTGCAACAATTATGCCTTGTATTAATATCTGCTTAATACATATGGAGTATAACAATTATGCCAACTAATTGTCCTCATAGAAATTCAATGGTGAAGTGGGAATAATGCCCCTACATTACAATATATGCCCTATTTGGTGGTTGTTTAGGATATCTTGTACATAGTCTTTAAAAGGTTTAGTGGCTTTGGTGTTTAGATTGTGTATGTTTTATTAAATCTTAAGAAAAAAAATCCATTTGAATGTTGATTTCTATGTACATGTATAATGTAATATCTATATTTTCAGCACACTTTTTAAAGATTATTTCAGATTATATATATCTATATATATATATATATATGTGAGAATTAAGCATTTTTATGTCTTTTTTTCTAATTCCTCTCAATTTAAAATTACTATCCTTTTATAGATATTGGATTTTACTCTCTCTCTATATATTATTAAAAAATCTATAAATATCTATATAAGATTAAAAATATAAACTTATATATTTTTATTCATAATATTATGTTTGTTATTCTTTATTTAACTAAGGTAGTCTTTATATTTATAAAACAAGATAAGAGGGCATTTTTTTACTCTTTAGATTGGTTGAAATAAAAAAAAGTCTCACTAAGTTGATTTTACTCTTAGAAAAATAAGTCCAAAAGCTCTAAAAAAAGGCAAAATAAGAGATGGAATGCATATTTTTCTTACATTATTTGAATAATATTTTTGTTGGATCCAAATTAAGAAGTGATTTTTAAAACAATTTGATAGACAATATTAAAGAATGCTTAAGATAGCAATGAAGAAAATAAAAATTCATTTTTTGCATTTTATTTTCATTTTTTATAGTTGTTTGAATCACGATACAAACTGACATATTTGGACTTGTAATAATAATAAAAATGATTTGATCCATTTTATGACTTTACACTACATCCAAAAACCAAAGCTTCAAGAGAAAGTCTTGTCTTCACCAACTGAGGGATTTTGGTTAAACTTTTAAACTGTGATCTTTCAAAGTAGGCTTCTATGTATAAAGTCCTCCTAAGATATGAGCTGATATATTGATCATCACAATAAAATAATGCTTTGCTACAAATAATGACTTCGTCTTCCATTCTACTATCTCCAAAAACCAAAACTTCCAAACTCTTTGCTTGTTTGTTTGTTTTTTCACCCAACAAAAAACCATCAAAACTACAACCTTTTCCAATATAAACACCTTGTAAATTTCACATTCTTTAGTGAAAAAACCACAATACGAGTGTGTAAGCAACGAGGACGGTACACCACATGAGCATGTGACACGCTGGAACCGGAAGGGTGAAGCAAAGCAAAGGGAAAGGGAAGAGTACATAATTGAGACGAAAGCAAGCAAACAAGCAAGCAACGCGGTGGAGAAAACTACAACACGAGATAATGTTCTTCCGACGGAGGTGGTGGTGGCGGCATCGTCGTCGTCTTCTTCAGTGGTCAGTGGTGGCGATGGCGGGCACGGGCTGAAGATTCCCCCGCTCCATCCCCTCCTCCTCAAAGTGCACGCGCTCCGCTCTCATTCGTCCACTCACCAAGCAATCGGGGCCCCGTCCTTCTGGAGCGATGGTTTTGGCTTTTTCCAGCGTTTTCATGCTGCGCTTTCGCTTTTTTTTATCACCTTGTGGGATAGTATAAGACCCCATCTCTCGGTGTCTGGGGAAGGGTGTTGCCGAAGGTGTCTGGGTTGCGGTGAGGGTGGAACCATGGCAGGATCAGCTACAGCAATGCCCCGATTGTTTTTTTGCGCTTGGGTTTGCGCTTTTGTGCCGTTGGCTCGTGTTCTGGGAGCTCCCAATGGTGCTGCGGTGGAGTCTGTCCCTGGCTTCTCAGGCGATCTGCCGTCTCGGCACTTCGCAGGGTGAGTTGCGAAGACTGTGAGTTTTGGGTTTGGTGTCTTGGAGCGTGCCAATGCCGTGGAGTCTCCAATTTCGCTTCACACATAGTTTTGTGAGACTGACCTTGCATGGTTCTGTGTGGGAATGAGCCACTACCATGTATTGCTGTGTTTGGATAGTGTGTGACGAGCCACATGGCGAAGTAAGATTGTGAAATTGGGTCGCTGAGAGTAGATTGAATGCGTGAATGGATAAACGGGTATCTGTCGTTCGGCGCGCAAATGAAGGCTGGGTCTAATCACGTCCATCGCGATTTAAAATTGCGCAGTTGTTTCTCCGCTTCGGAACCTGACATTTGCAAATGTGGTCAGAAACCATGTTCTTACGGTTGCGGTGAATGTTGTGCTATTAGGTATGTGTCAGTGAACGACACCAATGGAAGGGAGCTTTTCTATTACTTTGTGGAGTCGGAGGGCAGTCCTGCTACTGACCCTGTCGTGCTATGGCTCAATGGCGGTCCTGGTTGCTCCAGTTTCGACGGGTTCGTCTACGAGCATGGTAGACTACTGGCGCTTTTGCCTCGACAATCATTCCAATGTATTTTATTTTATTTTGTGTATGCTCGCAACTATGCACCCCTCTTTGCTGTAAGTAGAGTCGTCATTCATCATTCTTAGCTGAATCACCCTAAAACTACAGCATCCGGCTACTGAGAAGTAGTATGTCAGCTTGTTGGAAAACATTGCAAGGGTCACTTGTTTGTTTGAGGCAGTATCTCACACAATATCTTGGTTAAGGACCTTTCAAATTCGAGGCTGCTGCTGACTCCGACAGCCTGCCGAAGCTCACACTGAATCCTTACGCCTGGTCCAAGGTATGTACGCCCCGTGTGTTCAGTCCTTTCATTTTTCGATCCTTACTTAAGGTTTTTCCTCACGTATTACTTCGATTCATTGTCGATGTTTGAATTGAGGAGCTGGTTGTTTGTCAGGCTGCGAACATACTGTATCTAGATTCACCAGCAGGAGTTGGGTTCTCTTACTCTCAGACGCCTACCGATTATATCACTGGAGACCTTCAAACAGCATTGGATACGCATGCCTTTCTGCTGAAGGTCGGCCTATTTCTCGTGCATTGTCCTTATTCATTTCTTGTAGACCTTAATTGGCTTCGCGGAATCCTGAGTATGAGGCTATTGTTCACCCCAAGCAGGGTTTAATTTTTGAACATATCTCGTGTAGAATTTTTTTATTTTAAATTCTAATTGAGGCATACTGTCCTTCTCAGTGGTTTCAAGCCTATCCGGAATACCAGTCAAATCCATTCTTCATTTCTGGCGAATCGTACGCCGGCATTTACGTCCCAACGCTGAGTCGTAACGTCGCACATGGTATGTCTGGTCCTACCTAACCGCATAATTTTCTGTCATTTTTTGCATCAAGGCTATTGGCATTTTTCATGAACTGGTTGATTTGTCACATCAAAGTCCAACTAGTGAGGCACACCCCTGGTATTACTATGAAGATTAAAGGATTTATTGTGTCCTGGAACCTCACATGAGAGATTAGCTTTGAACACAGTATACTAATTCATTTATTATCCTTCTGACGATGTTCGCCAGGAATTAAAGCTGGAGTGAAACCTGTGATAAATTTCAAGGTATGTCGCATTACGTTTGATGGTCTGGCTGGTCCTTAAGCCATCTTTCTTTTTGGATGTTGTTGTGACGGGAGTGACGTATTATGTTCCTATTGGCAATGCAGGGTTATTTGGTGGGTAATGGCTGCACAGACGACCAGTTTGATGGGGATGCCATTGTCCCATTCATTTATGGCATGGGTCTCATTTCGGTGGACATGTATAAGGTGAATCTTATTTTCATCGAGTATAGGCTCTCGAGCAGCAATATATGAAGTAGATCCTTGTAAGCTGCTGTTTGAAACAAAAAGTCAATCCGATCGCTTGAGTTAATGGTTGATTTGTCACGAGCGAGTCAATGATCTGATTCAACTGGTTTTGGGTTCGACTGACTGCTTTGTTTTGAATCTGTGTTTGACGAACGGATCTTTGGGCTTGCAGAGCGCACAAAAGGCTTGCAATGGATCGTATTGGAACGCTTCAGACCCAACGTGCCTTGCCAAGCTCAACGACATCTATAATGTCTCTATCACGATCCATACTTTTTGTTTGTTTGTTTTTGTTTTCATTCTGCTTATGTTCTGCAGAGCCTCTCCCTCAACTACATTCTACAAAATGATGCGCGAATTTTGATTGCTCAAGAGTGTCGTAATGTTGCCTAAGTGCAGGATGTTGAGGAAGTCAACATATATGATATTCTGGAGCCCTGCTACTATCCTGATTCAGAGAGCGATTCGTCTCGATATCACTCCAGGTTGCCTCAAAGTTTCCGCAGATTGGGTGAAACCAAGGGGCCCCACAAAATCCGAAAACGCCAGTTTGGTCGAGCATACCCTCTGCGACTACCCCTACGAGCAGGACGTGTTCCTACCTGGCCTAGTCTTTCTCATGCATTGTTCGACTCTGAAAACGTACCATGCACGGTATGATCCCTTCATCATTCTCTTTTTCTTTCAGGATATTGATGGTCGTTCCAGACACTTGTTTACTATTTTTTTGTCAAATGCTTTGTCTTCCTGGCCTGTACAAGTACTTTCATTTGTACTTAATACTTTGGAGGCATTGCTCGTTGTCTATTACATGCAGTTTCTAAGTTTGTGTGTTGCCCAATCTATAAATTCTGACCGACTTTAGCGATGATCGCCTTTAGTTCGTCTCAAGGAGTCTACTGATTAATTGTTTCATTATCTAAACAGGATGATCGTATTGCTGGTACTTGGCTTAACAACGCTGAAGTTAGAGCTGCACTTCATGCTAAACCGGTTAGTGCCAATTTTCGAATTTCTAATGTATTTCACTGCGCCGGATTGGTTAGTCTGTAGCGTCTACCAGTCTGACCTGTATTAATTTTGTAAGAATGTATGAATAAGTTTATTCACACCATTGGAAGGGCTCCGACAAAATGGAGGAAAATTAACAATGTATTTGTTATGCAGGCTGCTGACATTGGCCCCTGGGATCTCTGCACGGACAATATCATATTCTATCACGATGCTGGCAGCATGATACCAATCCACCGGGAGCTTACAACAAGCGGCTACCGGGCTCTAATCTACAGGTTTCTATCCTATCCTTGCCTCTTACCAAATCATCGGTATTTACGTGAATGTGAATCGGGGATCAGCCCTCTCAATCCTAAGGACCATTATTGACAAAGTAAAATGTATTGTGTTTTCCAGTGGTGATCACGACATGTGTGTGCCCTATACCGGATCGGAGGCTTGGACATCATCTATGGGTTACGAGGTCACCGATCAATGGAGAGCTTGGTTTGTTGGACGTCAAGTTGCAGGGTGAGTTCAGTGTCCATCAGCTCCTGTCATCTAGATTGCTGTTTTCCCAGCATAATACTCGTGGTTTTAGTTTTTGTTGTCATTATTTTTGAAGTTTCCTCATCTGGAAGATAATTGCAAACCTGCAGGTTTACTCAAGGATATGCTAACAACTTGACGTTTGCTACTATCAAGGTGATGTGTCTTCCGCTTAGCTGTTTTTCAATCAAATCCTTCTTTCTTATTTTGAACTTTGTCAGAACTTCAAAATAAATTGTCAGTGGAATTATTTACTACCCTCTAGTTGCCATTTAGATGTGAATTAGTTGTGGCAGATTGCGTAAACCTTCAGTGACGGAAGATTTTGTATTTAAGTTTGGAAAAGCACGTTCTACGTTCTAGCTTTTTGCAGTGGGTGATTTCAGTCCTTCTGTCAGGCTCACGCAGTTCATCCGTATATTGTGTCATACAGGGATCAGGGCACACTGTTCCAGAGTACAAACCAGCGGAAGCACTGGCATTCTTTCAGCGCTTCCTTTCAGCACAGCCTTTATAAATATGGCGCAGTTCAGAGCAAGTTTTCCAAAAGCTGCACCTAAGTGCAACCGAATTGAATCTTTGCTGCAGGGAGTCATTTTGATATGCTCTTATCCTTGTGCACTTGTTCCAGTTAAAGGTTGTCGCAGGTAAAGTTCCTCAGCTGCTATGACATAGAAACTGTTCTCTTCAGATAGATGGTGTAGAATTTGTGGAGTGAATTCTTTTGAAGAATGCTCATTCTTTTCATGGGTTTAGAGCAACTATTCGAATCCTCTTTTGGAGCAGTCGAAGGTATGATTTTCTCTTAATGTTTATATTTTATGTTCTCAAGTAATAAAGTAGTTTTCGTGAATGTGATTTTATGAGTGTAATTTATTTTTATCCGAAGGTAGTAATTATCATTGGTTGTTATTGTCATGAATAATGTAAAAGAGTGTCTAAAAGTTAAGAAACATTATGCCAATATGTGATTTGTATGTGTTTAGGTTTTTTTGGGGTGTTGCAGATGCCACTATAGTTTTTGCTATTGCCACCACAATATACTATCCACTACATTTCATCACAATTTTTGTTATTGTCACCCCAATTTTATTTTTATCAACTTTTAAATTATTTTCTATTAATTATTATATATATATATATATATATATATATATATATAATTTGAAAAGAAAAAAAACATTGAAGATATTAACAAAAAATAAAAACGATTGAAATAAAAAGAAAAATAATACAAAATTAAAAAACTAGAGAAATATGGTAGTTGGATGGTTGGTTTTCTTGGTAGTAGTAAAGATTGTGGTGACATGTGGTAGTTGGTAGGTTATGGTGATAATATCCAAAATTGTGATGATAATAACATCATTTTTTTTTTTTTTAAATTATGATTTTTTTTTGCATAAACATATTTTAAGATTTAAATTTACTTTAAATTTTTTCTTAATCTTTCATTTATTGTCATATAATTAGAGATTATTCAATTACTTTGGATATTTCATATAGTTTTAAAAGATATTTTTTTTGAATCTTAATGTTATAACACACCACTCACATGAATTTCATTATATAATAGTTACTTTTTTTTGTTTTCTAAAACATTCTATGATACATTCGTAATACTAATTATGATTATAGATTCTCTAAATTAAAATATCAAAATCCATGAATACATAAATAAATGAACTATCTCTTTTACAATATATAAATCTTAGATGAATACAATCATCAAAACAATTTGATTGTGGATATATAAAGTTGATAAAAATATAATCAATGATTAATTCAGAAATATTTAAAACATAAAATCTCAACATGATGGCCATATAATATCAACAAAATAATAATTGTTCTGATATGATGATAAATTTTATCCAAATAGTACTTGGAATTTAAAATTAACAAACAAATATCAATACCAACAACAATCTATTTTATTAATTACAATTAATAATCAATTATTTTATTTTCAATTCTCTTTATACTAAAAAGGTTTAAAATATGTTTTAAATTTTTAATTATTATCCTTGTATTTTCTATCAAACTTATCATTTAATAACATAAGCTTTTGTAAAAAAGTTAATTCAATTTCATACAAACACAACTGTAAAAATGTATATTTTACATTACAATTAATAAGTTATTAGGTTACAAAAAATTTAACATATTAAAAAATATGTTTTTGTTTATTATGTATGTATGTATCTCTAAATATATATATATACTAAAATTTTAATAAATAATAATACTAAACTAATTTATAATTTAAAATATTATAATAATAGTTTATAGAAATAATTAAATATTTTTAAAAGACAAGTATATTGATTATAAAATATCAATATTAATTTTTATGTTTAAACTTTGATAATATTTTTTATAGACGGCATTGTTATAAATTCTTATTGAATTTTAATTCTTGAGTTGTTTAATATAAGTATTATAAATAAGGTTTATAATAATTTTATGTTATAAAATTAGTTTATCATAGATTATTTAAAATTTTAAAGCTATAAGATTCTAACTTGAATAATTTAGATGCATTCGTAGCTAAATTTTAATTAGTTTGTAGAAAATTAGTACAATTGAGATAGAAAACTTATAAATTTATACTACAAAAAAATCATAGATTAAGAAATTAATTATCAATATGAAATAAAATAATATTTAATTTATGAGTATAATTTTATAGTAATTATAATATATGGTATTAACATTGATGTTGAATCTATCCAACTTAAAAAGGTAAAAACTTTTATTTGGTTAGATTGCATAATCTTTGCTTATTTTGATAAAAAAAGATATGTTTCTATTATAGATCCTATTTGAAAAAAAAAAAAACAAAACAAAACAAAACAAAAAAATAAATTATATAATATTTTCCAAAAAATTACTTAGAATATATAAGAAATTCATATATGTATGTAAAAATTTAAAAACTTAGATATTTTTTTATAAACATGAAAATTTTATTTGTAAGATTAATATTATCAAAGATATGAATCACATAGAATCAAAAAATCAATGTATTCTTCAGCCACTTAAAAAGAGTAGATATTTACTCAAAGATAATATAGTATTAGAACTAGAATGGCTATTGTTGAAGCCAAGAAGACTAGAAACTCTTAAAATAAGACTAAGACCAAGAAATGTGTAGACAAGAGAAAGAAAGACCTCACCTTTGCATCCTTATATACTATCTAAGTGCTATGTGGTGATGTTCTACATGACCTCCAACATGTGCTCAACTTGTAAGACACATGTCTAACTTACAAGACAAGTTTCTTACATGTGTGCCACATTGCCAACTTGTTGGCCAAGTTTTCAACTTATTAATCACCTACAAACACATATATAGTTAAATTTGCATATATAAAGCTTCTAAGAAAGCTTGTACATAAGATAATATTGAATCTACTTACTTCTACTTACTTCTATCTAACTCCTTTAATCTAGATCATTATATATGTTTGTGACAAATATTTTGTAGAGGACAAAAATAGATGAGTTCTTATAAATGTGTGTTGTTTATAGAGATTTTAATAAAATAGTAATAAAAATATATAATTTAAAATACCAATAATTTTAATATTTTATAATTCATTTTATGAATAAAAATTTATACTAAGATTGAATTTAAAAAAATTTATTATTTAGTATAAATAAATAATTAGAAAAGAAACTAAACTTTAAACAAGATGGAAAAATTATATATTTATATTTATATTTGAATTAATAAACACGCTTATCAGCTTTTAAAATCTAATGAACAAGATGATTATAGGATTCTTGAGTTATTTTAAATTTCATATTTAAATACTATTAAAAAATATTTTAAGAAACTAAAATATGTTTTATTATATTTTGTGTCTTATTTCACAAAAATTATGTAAAATTAGATTATATACTATGATTCTAAAAAAATATCTAAGTTTAATTTCTAACATGGCATATAATATAATTTTATGTAATTTTTGTAAGATTTTAATTAGGTTTTAATTAGATTATAATTTTATGTTAATCTGATATTTTAATTAGATTATATGCCATGCTAGAAACTCATATTTTAACTTTGTAAACACAGAAAATAAGAAACATTCAAAACTTTGTTCATATGTTATTAATTTATTTTTTTATAGTAATTTAACCTATTTCATCTTTTCAATACAACAACTTACATTATGTAACTATAGATTTGATTTAAAAAAAGATACACTCTATCTAAATTTGTTGCAACTATTTCCCAACTTAACAAAATCAAACATGTTGCAGCTAAAGACCTACCTATCGACAATGCATCTACAGTGTGATTACTGCAAACCTCTCTTATCTCATCAGTACTATACATCCAAAGCAAATAAATCATAACAAAACTTTTAATATAAACTTGATAATCACATCCCATCTGAAACAGAAATGAAACCAACAAACAAGACGGGCAAAACCGTAAGTTTTGGGTGAAACAGGGAAAGAAAAAACAAAGAAGAAAAAAAGGGTTTTGTTTTGATTTGGATTTTGATTTTTTTTGTCATTTCAAACTGCAATTAGAACTGCTGTGGAGATGTGGAAAAGGTAGGAGTTCCTTATCCGGAGCAGCGTCGCCTGCGCCTTCCACTTCCAGATGAAGAAATGAAGGAAGGAACTTACAAACTCAGCAGTTCAAAGCATCCTCTTCGTCCTCCTCCACATCTTATCGCTGCTGCCTCTTTCAGCCTCTCCCTGCAACTCTGTGTGGATTGCTTCGTGGTGAGATTCTCCCTTCACATGGTGAACTTGCCTGATCTTGCGCCACAAAGGTGCTGTCAAACTTGGATTTCGGGTTTTGGGTTTTAGGCATCTCTTGGAAAAAGGGAACGTGGAGTGTGTGTTTTTTTCCAGGGTTGACACTTTGGGTCTCTGTTGTGTGTTAGCAAGGTTGGTTCTTTGGTTATCTTCCTGTATCTAGGGTTGGGACCTGTTCATGTGGTGAATGCTGGTCGTGGATCAGTGGTTTGGGCTCTCGCATCGTCCCGTAATCGGGCTTTTAGATGTAATTAGGCTCCATTGAGAATACCCCTCACATTCTGAGATTCTGGATATGGTAGCTTGGATGGGAGCACAATCTTGCCATTTCTTGAGCTCAGACTAGTTTGTTAGAATGTGGTCGAGGAGAAATCTCAGGCGTGGTGTTAGATATTGTTGTGATAAAAGTCTAGTCCAGGGGTTTGTTGAAGTTTTGTTGGGTTTCTAATTAGAAGAGATTGTTGAAGAATCAGGGTGAGCAGTGCAAATAGTGGCAGCAATGGCAGCGACCACCATGTCCACGCTTTCTACATCTCTCGTCGCTCCCACCGTGGCGGCGTCACAGTCCGCTTTCCAGGGTGCGTCTGTGCGTGTGAACCTCATGCCTGCTGTGGGTGTGGTCAAGAGCCGCCCCCTCACTATTGTAGCAGCCACCAAGAAAGCCGTGGCTGTGCTCAAGGGCAACGCCAATGTTGAGGGCGTTGTAACTCTTCTCCAGGAGGATGATGGTGAATAATTCAAATAACCGCTTTCCCATTCAATCTAAGAGAGTGTAATGCTCCTTAAGTTGGTTTTGATACACGGTGTAATTATTTACTATAGTTATAATATAGCTGGTGTGAATACAGCCACAGGGAATTGATCTAGAAAGGACCGTCAATCCTTTGATTAGAAGCATAAGTGAAACAATGCCCCAGTAATGGGCGATAATTGATTCAATACGGCTGTTAACACTAATTTCTAGGATCTTCGACGCAGGTCCCACAAAGGTCAATGTGAAGATCACTGGCTTGGCTCCCGGCAAGCATGGATTCCATCTTGTACGTTTTTTTTTTTTTTTTTTTTTTTTTTTTTTTTCAATTTTTCTGTAGGATTGTAAGCGCTGCAGTATTTTGATTGTACCGCATGCTTCATGGAATCAATTTAGAGTGCCCTTCTTGCATTGCAGTGTTATTTCATGATTTCGGAGGCTGTTTCCAGTTCAGTTGCATTGTTTGACATGCACAGAAGTTATAGAGATTTCGTTTTACTATTGCTCTTCGCACGAAGAGGTCACCAGCCAATCAGAATCTGATGTGGGGTTTGATTTTGTATTGGTGTAGCATGAGTTCGGTGACACAACCAATGGCTGCATGTCTACTGGTAAGTTTACAAATGTTATTTTTCTTTTGTACATCTCACTTAGAATCTCAAGACTCTTGAATTTGTGGTTGTTGATTCTTTTAGTAGGCTCTTCTGTTTGAGAATACAAGGAATTTAAAACTTGCTCTTTGTGCGGAATTGCTTTCAAATTTGAGAGTCTTCTTACTGAAGAGTTGTCAGTCGGAACCTTTGAATTTGTTTATGCAAGAGAAAGTAAGTAGTCTGTGTTAAGTCGCAATCTGTTACGTTGGGACAAGTCCTTCACATCTGACTTCGGGGGATACTCTTGCAGGTCCTCACTTTAACCCTGAGGGCAAGACTCACGGTGCCCCAGAAGACCAAAACCGTCATGCAGGAGACTTGGGCAATGTTATTGCTGGCGATGATGGTGAATACCTAACTCATTTTGATTGTAGCGTTATCTGCTATAGACTCTGCTTTCACTATTAAAACCTGAAGTATGGATATTGGTAGGTAATTCATTTACTGTCGTTGATTTCTTTCACGTTTGGTCCGATTACAGGTGTCGTCGAGGTCACGCTTGAGGATTCCCAGATTCCTCTATCCGGTCCGAACTCCGTAGTTGGAAGGGCATTCGTTATTCACGAAGCTGAAGATGATCTCGGAAAGGGTAAGCGGAGATAGAAGCAATCGTGCACTGAAATTTTGTTACTCATCTACCAGAGAGAACTCACGTTATATACATCTTAGAAAGATAGCAAACCTCATAACATGCGTCATAACTTGTAAGGTCAGGAGGATGTAAGCTAATAAACTTTTACTTCACAGGTGGCCACGAGCTCAGCTCCACAACCGGCAACGCAGGAGGCCGACTTGCTTGCGGTATAACTTTCTTGACCTCCGAGAATCTTCAATTCATTTACCACAAACTGAAACACTTTTTATTATCTATGGAAATGAGTGAGTTTGAGGTGGGCTATGTTCAGGGCTTCAGGAAGTAAAAATTCTCTAAGTTTACAATGTTCTTGACACCGGTGTACACATAACTGAGCCTGTAATCCATTGCGATGTGTGCAGGTGTTGTGGGTCTGACACCCCTGTAGTTAACTAGGCTCTACTGGAACCGAATCCTGCTTTTGCATGTAGAAAGGGAGCCACATCGTCATTGTGGACAGTCTGATGTGGAGGAAATTACGTCCACTGTCTTTGTGGGAGTTTTTTAGTCGCGGGTGTGTATCCTGTCTGACTATGTCGTTAGGTGAGGGAATTGCGGTGGACCTGCCTTGTGCTGTACTCTCAACGTGAACGTCAATATCATTCATCTTCTCTCGGGGCAATTGACAGTGTATCTGTGAATGCAATTCCCTACCCGCGATGCCCACATTCCTTCATTCGAAGCATCCTGGTTGGCATGTTCCTGTGCTAAGAGTTCATGTTTTTTGGGCTTAGAAACGGTGTTTGGATAGTCCTTATGGATGGATATAATGAGCTTGAACTTGCTTTAACTTACAAGCCAACCGTCGAATCACTTAAAAAAGAGTAAAGTAGATGATGTGTTATGAGATTGTTGATTGTGCACTGTTAAGGAATCTATGTAACACTAATCAATGAGTAATTTTGTGTGAAAGGAACTGTGAAGAGATTTACGAAGGGCTGAAGTAGCCCTCTCATTGGTCAAAATTTTTTTCTAATTTGATCGATTTGTGAATTAATTGGAACCTACAGGAAATATCATTGCAGGGAGCAATTCATGAACTATTCTCATATCTAAGAGTACAGCATTGTATTATGTATATATATATATATATATATATATTTCCAGCTTGAAAGCTTTTAGATTGACAATTATATATTCAGGTTCGAGTTATTTTTTTTTATTATTATTATAAAAGAAGCGTTTTATCAGTCTAATTTTTATACAGTTCTTCACATTTGGAATTTTATTTCAAGATCTGCATCCAAAAACAAAACCTAAGAATTTGAATTACAGTTATTGTTAACTTAATGTAGAAGCCCTTCTATACTTGGACATGGTTTCTTTGTTCTATATTAAGCAATATAGGACACTAATTTTCATATATAAAACAGTAAGGTGGGTCTTCTAAAATGTAGAAATCTATTTTTAGATGCCACATTGATCACAAATAATTCTAAGGGTGTTTCACAATGAAGATTGTGAGCATGAAACAAAGTGGACCTATAAGTGTATGCATGTCTAAATTTTATGTAGTACTTGACAGTGAACTTCCAATTGTATTTTTGTCTCATTTTCACTTATTTTTTTACTCACTCCCTGAAGCCATGAAGTTTGTAGATTTGCTCTTAGAGCAAGGATATTTCGTGTTGTGTTGTTGCAGTCTTTCAATGATAATTTCAAGATTGTGCATCGTTTGTAATATTTGTTTGTGGTAGTTTTTGTGTAAACATATTTGGTTGGTGATGAGTTTTGCTTGAGGTTTGAGTAGGTGCAGAAATTTAGATTTGTGATACATGGAAAGTGTGGTGCTTAATAATGTCCTTTGCTCCATAGTAGATTGTCAATGATGTGGAAGCGCAATATACCTTTCTAGAAAAAAAAAAAAAAAAAAAACATGAAAGTAAATTTGGCTTGCAAATTATGGGCCATGACATGAAGGGCCATGTCCACTCAATGTAGTGTTTGTTCTGTGTCTACTTTAGGTGAGTTGGTGAAAACATCAAAGTCGAGGTTTTACACAAATACCAATAAATAAAAAACATCAAGATTTGATCTCCTCCATTCTGAACCAACTCATACAACATGCATCACAAAGTGCAACACTTTGTAGTCTTGAAGAAGTACCAAACATTCTTGCATACCGACAAGAAGTCATTCTTTGATGGCAAGAAGAAGTCATCTTTGGATTTATTTTTGTGTTCATGCATAGACAAAATATACTTTGTCATCAATGCTCTTATAGTCAACGTTCTCATCATTGACTTATTATATCATCTCAAGGATAATATGTGGATGGCAACCTTGAACCTATCTCGTTAGCCAATGCCTTGAAGTTGTTCTAACTTAATGACTTTGGTTCAAAGTATAACATGACAATTAAAGAATCTAACTTGTTTTTAGTTAGCAATCAATCACACCTCAATTGGCTTGTAGTTTTGTCAAATGATTGAAGTCATTAAACAACATTAGAAATATGTAAAGAATACCAAGCTAATTGGATTGAATATTCATATGGTTGGACTATTTGACTATATTATAGTTGATATTAATCTTCAACTTATTTCCAACATTCTAGCAAGTTTATAGATCTATGCATTTTCTCTAGCTGGTAATAGCACCACTTATTATGATGTTGCTTTTATTGATAATTGTATCCATCTTTACGTTGAAGGCTTACTTCACAATTTTTATTTGACTAATATTCTAATCTCTAATTGCCATACTACAATTAACATTGTAAATTTAATTCAAAAGATATAGGAAGTCTAACATAGTGCATGGTTTGACAAAATCATCTCTATGAGTTCAAATTGTAAGAACTTAATAACAAGATAATATTGAGGCAATGTCACACTTTTTGAAAATAACTTGACTAATTCTATTTTACATATTTGGTTTGCTATACATAAAATGAGTTGTTGGATGGCATGTTGCACTATATGATGCATGTCCTTTCTATTTACTTGTGTACTCATTAGAATTTAGTCACTGCAATGAATACAAAATATCTAAAGGATATGATATATTGGGTATAATTTGTTATTATGATTGGATATTGTTAAGGATATGAATCATAATAAAATCCTTAAAAGGTAATATACTTTTTTAATATTCAAAAAGAGAGTAAACAAATTAAAGATAAATATAAAATATAAATTAGAATGACTATTTCCAAATACAAAGAGATTAAAGATTTTAAAGCTATGATAAGAATACAAGAAAGGCATTGACAAGAGAGAAAAAAACATCACTCTTACGTCCATATATACTATCTAATTAAGGAGCTATATGACATTTTTCATAGGTCATCCATCACATATCCAATTAGTGAGACACATGTCTAACTTGCAAGCCAAGTTTCCAACATGTGTGCCACATAGCCAATTTGTATGACAAGTGATCAACATGTGTAATATATGGCCAACTTATAAAACAAGTAGTCAACATGTGTCACATGTGGCCAATTTTTTGGCTACATTTTCAACCTATTAATCACCTACATATACTTAGAAAGTCAAATTTTCATCTATAAAGCTTTTCTGTAAGATATTATCAAATTTATTTACTTCTACCAACTTCTACCTAACTTCTCTTAACTTTATTAGTATTAGTATATTCATTAGAGGTGGATGTTGAAGCATTGTCACATTTTGCTCAATTACATCTTACAAAAGGTGTCAACAAAAGTTCTATGGACTCTTTACTAGATTAATGCTGAAGTTATTATTCTACTTGTCAACATTTGCAATATCTTAATTACAATCTTTTTGTAAAAGAATATGGTATTGTTGCAACTAAGCAATGAGCAAGAAAATTTTGTTATCAATCTATCCAGAATCAATTTTCTTCATGAAATGAGTGATTATTTATATATTAATGAAGAACTAATCAAGTTTTTTTTAAAAAGATGCATTTTGACTAAAAAGTGATTCAATTGTTAAGCATATTTATTATCAAGGCTTGTGTACTTGCAATCTTTGTCCTACCTTGCCAACTCTTAATGAATCTATGGTATTATTTAATGGTGTCTGATTTCCAATCAATTTTTTTTAAAAAATATTGTAAATCTTTATTGTCGTATTATATGAAGTCTTACTTGAGAATACACTGGGCATCTAATTGTAGAAGATAGAATAGAAATTACAACAATAAAATCCTAACTCTAATAGAATATTAAATAAATCTAATAAAATCTTTAAAATACTAAATAAGCTTAAATCAAATTCAAAAGAAATCTTATAAAAATTACAAAAGAAACAATAAAAAATCTTAAACGAGTTCAAAAGAAATCCACGATAAACCTTAAAAAATCCTAAAGAACTATTAGAATAATCACAAATAAATCATAAATAAATTTCAATCAAATCTTATTTTAATCTTATTTGAAATCCTAATCGACTTGAATTAAATCATAGGCCAAATCCTAAATTCTAAGCAAATCCTAAATCTTAAATCCTAAGCAAACCCTAAATCCTAAACCGTCAATCCTAAGCAAATTCTAAATTCTAAATCCTTGAAAAATCCTAAATCCTATTCCAATCCTAAATCCTAATCAAATCCTAAATCCTAATTCTAAATCAAATCCTAACCAAAACCTAACCAATTCAATCTAACCTTAGTACAATTTAAAACCTCAATATCTATTGATTAAACCATTGATCTTACTTAAAATTTAATATACTTCTCAATAACTAAGCAACAAGCACACAAAATTTGAAGAGAATTGAACTTATTAAATAAAAGAAAAATATCAAAATCTGCTTGGATGTTGGCCAACCTTCTTCTTCAACCTTGATGCTGGTCTTCTAGTACCAATATTTCTTTTTTACATAGTTCAATTGTTTTTTAAATTCACATATGTATAGCAAATCAAGTCTATTATTCTTACACATAAATTTAACTCTAATCCAAATTGTAAAATGTTGAAGATCTTAGAAACTCTAATTGCCTCTCAAAGTCCAATTTCCAAGATCTTAACCTTCTTGAAATTCAATAACCTTCAATTCACCTGTTTGATCAAGCTTAAAGTTATAACATACACTCTAGAAAACTATTCTCATAAGTCTTTAAAATTTAAACTATGGATCTACTACCAAACTAATAAAATTCTCTAAAACATAATATCCTTTTTATTTCACAAATTCTAGAGTTACTCAAAACAAACGTGACTTTACAAAGCTCTTACAAAGTCATTATATACTCAAATCAATCAAAATCAATGTTAAAAAAAAATCTATTAATTCTCTATCAAATTCCACTCTTTGATCTGCAAAAGAACCTTGAAATCACCATATGTATATAGTTTTATGCCTTGGGATCTGATTTTGACCCAGGTTGACAAGTGGTCCTCTTTGGGTATCAATTCTTGACTTCTTGACATAATTTTTGCTAAAATCTACTCTTAATTCCCTCCTATACATGCCTATGTTATTTTATTTTTCAGTTTAATTTTTTTGCCTTGTTTATAGTCCTATAAAATAAATAGAAGCCTATTTTATAAAAGGCATCAATAGTATCTTAAAATTTTACTATCTTTTTGACTATTATCTATTTTTTACGATATTTTCTTTAATATTTTTAAAATAAGATCTTTTATAATATAATATTTTTCTCTCTCTTTCATTCATTAGCCATGTTACATCACGACAATG